ATACCTCCGATGGAGAGGGGTTTGTCCCACACATTGCAACTTGTGAATGATCTGCAGAATTTTACTGAATACATTTTAATTAAAAATGAACCGAGCTCTGTATATTAAGCTATCCGCAGCAGTCCAGTTACAACGTCTGCTCGCAAAATCAGAATTTTTGCTTTCGCGTGAAAGTCTGAGACACGCACTGCCTACTCTGGCTTTTTTCCTTGCAAGAGAATGATGTAAAGAAAACGTTATGAATCATTCCGAAGGTAATCAACAACAGCTAACTTGCTTTACATTTAGCTGATCTTCAATTTTTAGTGTGCAGGAAGGCAATGTTTCGCCGCTCAAGAAAAGTCGGCCTAGCCGAAGGAAAAAAATTGAAAAACTGAGGAAACGCCGAATGACTGATATTGAAACAAACCAAAATTAACACAAACGACGTCAATTGGAGCAGAAGTGACTGAAAAAATTCAGTGAATTGATATTCCTAATTACCATAAGTACGGAACGGATGAACCGTCGCTTTGGAGATGGGAATCGATTTAAATTAAATTTATAATTTGGCAATGTTCACAAGTTTCTGACCGATTTAAAATGACAATTTTGATTTCTCATTAATAGTCTATCATTACATCAGTGAAAATAAATGCGCAGACAAACCACTCTACATGTTTACGTCATGCATGTGTGCGTTTGGATGGAAAAAAATATTCTGTAAAGTTTTTTATTGTGCTCGTTTTGTTGACCGCTGTAGAAATGATGGCGCAGTCTTGCGATAGAAGACTTATCACTTTCCTCTACTCATTATAATCAAGAATTTGATATAATTGAGAGAATTTCTTCTTGTTTTACGAATGCACCTTTGACATCAGACTGTCACTGTGTTATGTTTCCTAAACACTGCTTGCGAGAGAAATGCAAAATCATGCATATTTAAAAAGCGCTTGGTTTTATCGATGTCCTTAAGCCGAAATTGTAATTTATTGAATTCCCCACTTTTTCATAACGCCAGATTCATGAAAACGTTAACTATGACAAAGGATACGGATTCTGTGTGGATTGGGGGAGTGATGCATCGTGCCTGGAAAACCACTTCGCTGGCAGGACGGACCAGAATCCCGCCTATTGGTTTCAATCGTTAGAATAACTGCGAATCGCATCAAAACTTTATCCTGAAAATGAAACGAACCAAATGCCTATACTTTAACAATGTATGAGTTTCGGTTCAGAAGACAATGGCTTTGAACGTGACAAAAATTTTTCATTTATTAATATTATATTTCGGTTTCCGGAACTGAAGTGAACTGCACCTATGCTTTACTATGCAGCTTTCCCTTGAATTATTGCCATTTTTAATGTATCAGTCATGATGGCTTATAGGATGCCAAAATGGAGTCGAAAAATATTCTCACCAACCAGTGGCCATATCCATTGCTCAAAAATGAATAAAACACGTTTCGCTTATACACAACGGAAATAATCTGATCTATCAGATGATTGACAAGTACTGAGAGTCAAATCACTGTCGCAAGAACCTTTTTCAATATTTGCGGTTGAGGAGATTAGCCCGGTTTCCGAAAGAAAGCAAACATTCTGTAGGAAAGCCTTCAGACAAATTTTTGGATGATCTTAGAAAGTTCGTTGGATTAATGAGGCTAAAAAAACAGAAAACAAAGGTCTCTGGCGAAAAGTTTGAGACATCTTCATCCAGCAGTGGATCAACAGACCCTGATTATAAGAATGGTGAATTAAAAAATATAC